TACGGTACGTTTAGTTAGTTAATAAATATATATATATATATATATATATATATATATATATATATATATATAGTATTTTCAGGTATAAGGACAAGCTGAATCAATACACAAACAACGATATATACCCCCTTCAAGACCTGTAGCAGCGTCGTGACAAACAATGTCTGTACTTGCACCCCGCGCCCCCCTCCCCCATGAGGACGCCGCTGCCGCGCATATACACCCGATGTATACGAATAAACCATACGATATCACATCAAAAGCAGGTATTAAGGCAGATCGGATCAACATACAAGCAGCGCTATATAATCTCATCAAGGCCTGTGAATGCATCGTGGTGCACGGTGGCTGTATTTGGCCCGCCCTTGGGCGACCGTTGCTGAGACAAGTTATCCAGCTCATATACACAGCTGTGTATGACAGCAACTCAACAGTATACAAATACATGTAAATTTGACCATAAACACACATAGAGGCGAAGGATGGCAGCTCAAAAATATACAAACACATGTAAACTTGACCATAAACCGCATCCATAACCAGCTCATAGCATTTACCCTCAGTAAGCTCGGTGACTGCGTCGTGGTACACAGTGCCTGTGCTTGGCCCGCCCTTGGGCGACCGTTGCTGTGAATGGCTCTTGGATATTGAGCCGAACACGGCCGACGCAGACATCAACAACTCTGCATGCGCAGACTCGTCTGTACTGTGGTTGTCCACTGGGTTCAGGTGGATGTGTAGGGATTGTATGAGGACACATGAGAGGGAATGAGACTATGTGTATGTGCATGTGTAGATTCGGCTGTACTGTGGTTATCCACTGGGTTCAGGTGAATGGGTTGGGATTGTATGAGGCCACAGTAGCTAGAACGATACTATGTGTATGCGCCCGCCTGAGTGTACTGGTGTAGTGCGTGCGGTGTCCATGTAACCCCAAACAAGGTCGGAGAGGCCATGAATGGCCCAGCCCTCGCAGTGGCTTCTGGACTGTGTGATTCCCAATTGCAGCGATTGTGTATGAGTGTGACTAGATGGATATGTATACGTATGCCTGGATTAATGTTTATGGGTAGGCCCACACCGCAGTCTGGTCGCATGAAATATACGTGACAGCTGAACTGTGTGCATGTGCTCGCAAAATAAATGGAAGTGTATGTGAAGGACCTTCTACATGATAGGTAGACTAAAGGGAGCTAACAAGTCAAAACACAGTAGCACGCACCTACCAATACTCAGAAAGGCGTATCTACACCACTACAGCTACATCGCTATATACATATATACATACATATAT